GCGCGGGTGGTGGGCGTGCGGCTCCTGGGTGCGCGAGTGCTTGGGCAGCGGCTTCTCCCCTAACAGCTTGGCCACCCAGACAGCACCTTGGGCCATCACCCAGATCCTCTCATCTCCAAACATCCGACTGCCGGCAGCAGGTGAGTTCACCTGGGACCTCTGGAACACAAGGCTCCAAAAAGTGAGTGTTAAAATTCCCTATCAGGCTCGAGACGAGTGATGTAGGTAGTGCGTCACCTGATTGGTGTAAAACACGTGTGAGACTAAGACAAAGCAATGGGCAATGTTCCCGGTGCAGAAAAAGGGATGCCCTTGGCCGAGGTCTTGCAGGACTGGGAGAAAATGTGTGGTGCAGCAGAATTATTTAAGAAACATGCAGCCAGATTACACCAAGATGAATGGCTGTTTATTATAGGAGTGGCAGGAGGGGCCCTCTACAGTCATGGCCAACCTGGGGAGCCTTCCATCCACATAAATTAGTGTATTTCAGGCATCAGCTGGAAGACAGGAACGCATCCCAAATGAATCGCTGGTATGCGCGGTCTGTGGAGAGAAGACATCCAGGACAACAGCTGAAAAAGGGGGTAATTGTAGCAGTGGCAGAAGGTACCGCCCCAGAACATCCGGTGAGTAGCTCAGCCCTACCCAATCCGTTGTCTCCCCATCGGCTGCTGGGCTCCTTCCTAGGACTAGGACTCACGTCCCTAATCCCAGGGCTCTACGGAGACTCCACCGGTACTAACCTCCTGCAGGGACCAGTCTGGGAAACCCAGTGACCTGGCGCTGGGGAGAGGCAGGATGCCGCACCGACAGGAAGAGGTCAAGAGGTGTGCCCATTATTTTCAAATGTACGTACAGGGTATAACCCGAATGGGAGTGACGCGCAAATACTATTCAGGGAACCCTTTCGCCCCAATGAAAGAATGACCAAGGATGCTCAATCCACGTGACAGGCACATTGCGGGGTTGAACTCCATGGCCAGCAAATGGCCCCAACTGGAATTACCATGTTGATGAAAATCAGGCAGCTTGTCCAACAGGACTGCAAAATCCGGTAGAAGCCGTAAGAGCACGCGCAGAAACGGTGTAAATTGGATGAAGGTGCAGGAATGTAGGCAGAGGCTGGAGGAACACCCCAGATATTTTGGGGGAAGATTAAGGAAGCACTTTTGAAATATGGAGGAACGACTCTGCAAATAACGATGTACTTGCAATTAGGGTCTTTGTGGACCAGGTGACCCCAGATATATGGGGATATTTTAAGGACCACATGCCTGGGTGGCAAGGAGAGTACCTGTAGAAAACTTGGAGGATGGCTGTGTTCTTATACGATGGGTGTGAGGAGAGACAGAAGCCTGAGCAGGTGAAAGAGAAGGGAAAAGTGAAAGAACAAGGAGCGAGAAATTTGCAAGTGAGAGAGAGAGAGAGGCCAAGGGGAGAAGAGACCATGGATGGGAAATGGGTGAAAACTAGGGGAAAAGAGAGAGGATGGGAGAGAGTGCTGCTATTGTGGGAAGTTAAGACACATACAATGGGAATGCCCTCTCCAGCCACAGGAATGGGTAAGAGAAGGGAACGATCAGAGAACTAACTTGGGAAGATACGCAATCACGACGACTGCAGGAAGAGATCCCTAGGAATCTCAGGGGAGGGCTTGAGGAACTGGGAATTTTTAGTACATGGGTAACCCAATTAGACCAAAAGGGACATATTATTGGAAGGGTGGGAAGGAATCCTGAAACTGTGCATGTCATCCTACAAACCTCAATACTCCCAGTAAAAAAGGATAGGTTAGATGAGGACAGAGACCCCAAATACCAGTTTGTGCAAGACCAGTGAAAAATTAGCCAACATGTAGAAGTCAACCCATCCTATAGTACCAGACCCCTCAACTATTCTCTTACAGACACCACACTGGGCAAAATACTTCGCTGTTAAGTGACCTGACCACAGCTTTTTTTAGCATCCCAACAGATGAAGAAAGTCAGTTGTTATTTGCTTTTATGTGGAAAGGGCAGCAGATGACCTGGATGCGTCTCCCTCAAGGGTTTGTGGGTTCCCTTACCATATTTTTGCAGATATTATGACATTTTTTAAAAGACATAAAATTACCAGGAGAATCAGCACTTGCACAGTATGTAGATGACATTATTAGCATGCAAAAGTGAAAGTATCCATATAATAGACACTGGCCATTTATGTACCATCTTAGCTGAAAAGGGACACTGTGCATCTCTAACCAAGCTTCAACTATGTCAGAAAGAGGTTAAATATTTAGGATTGACCCTAAAGGAAGGCCAGCAAGAAATAGACCCTGAGAGGAAAGAAACCATAATTAAACTCCCACAACCTATCACAAAGCAGTGGATACAAAGATTCCCAGGAACAGTAGGGTTCTGTCGACCACGGACCCCAGGATTAGGAGAATTGACCAAACCCTTAACAGTGGCTAGAGAGGATGAAGAGGCCGAGACTATCATATGGGGACCTGAAAGGAAATAGGCTTTTAAACCTTGGGTACACTCTGGTCAGCCAAGGACAAGCGATGGACGCTCAACCACTTCCAACAAGGCTGAGCACACAAGGGGTGGGATTGGTAGCCCTGATGCATGCAGCTCATCCAGGGAAAGGAAAACGAGTCAATATCTACACAGACTCTCGGTATGCCTTCGGGGTGTGCCATGCAACAGGGATGTTATGGAAAGCACGAGGGTTTTTCACATCATCAGGGAAAAGGGTATGTAATGGAGAAGGAAAACACAACTGGAATCAGTTCAGCTGCCCAAAGAAATTGCTTTGAGACACTGCCCAGCCCACACTGAAGACACTACAGATATCAGTAAAGGAAGGATGCGAAGGCTGCAGCCCGACCACTCCTGAGAGAGTCTAGGGTTGCAATTTCCATGGAAAATCAGTACAAACAGCCAAATTTAACAAACACCAAAATCACGTAGGAAAAGGACTCTTCAGCAGAAGAGAAGAAACAGTGGGAGAAGTGGGAAGCAAAATAAGAAGACAACAGAATATGGGCAATTGAAGGAAAGCCAATTTTGCCAAAGAAATATTTAATGACTGTGGCCAGGTGGTTTCATGACAAAGCTCACGGCAGAGTAGAGGCAGGGGCTAACCAGGTACAAAAAGCATGGACAGCACTGGGAATTAATGCCACCACAAAAGGAATGACTAAGCAGCTGCCTGACCTGCCGAAAGTTTTAAGTGTCAAGCCAAGCTCCAAGTTAGTGGATGACCAGGGGCCTACTTCCCTTTCCACAGAACCATCACAGAACGGTTTGGGTGGGAAGGAACCTTAAAGGCCATCTGTCAGCTTGAAATACATCCCGATGAAACTACAGAAACTAAACTTGCATACACAGGAATAGGATGCGTCTGCATAAGAACTCCTTAATTCTGTGCAGATGATAATTTTGGGCAGACAGATAACTATTCAAATGTTTGTATTTGTAACTTTACTATAATCGTAGGATGCAACTTTAATTATTCAGCTCCTGTTACGTCCTTTAATTACTACACTCAGATTATTCCCTATACCAAGGCTTGTCACCTGCTTCCACTGGAAGGAAATCAACAGTGGACAGGCAGTTGAACCAGATATTAGAAAAAGTAATAGAAAATGGGAAAAAAACCCATTGGTCACCATCGACAATGGTACAGAAGAAATCCACCGCACCCTTGAAAGGGGAAAAGAGGACAGCAAACATGGCTGCTGGGAATCCCTTTTGGAATGGTCACCCCCAGCCACTGCAATACATAACCACATGTTACATCCAATTACAACAGTATTATGTTTTGGTTTTATGGTTTTACTCAAATTACCTTTTATGTAAGAACGCAAAGGTTGATTGTTCGCCTTGAATGTTTCACAGACTTTCACCTTTGTGTGGCATATTAAGCAGAAATGCTTGATAAAAACAAAGGGAAGACTGTCACAGGAGCCCCTTCCTTGCTCAAAGGGAATCCGTTGTACAGCATCAGCGAAAAGCCTTAGGCCGCAAGCTGTGAACTTTCACCTAGATACTGCTGAACTACTGAACTCTCAGTTCAGCAGAGCTAAGGGCTAAGGGAGAAGGCCCTGGAAGGCCCAATGTAACCAGAAAGATGACAGCCACATCCATCAGCAGAGCCTGCCTCCTCTAGATAAGAAAAGGAACGGCCCACCTGGAGACAGAGGAATGATCGCATGAGGAACAAGGAGACTCCAGACCCAAACACTACGCCTGGGCCAAACCACTGTGTGAAGGGAGGAAACCGGTATTTTAAGGGTGTAATTGCCCAGAGATTATTTGTTTGGGCTCCCTCTCTGGAGGCACCCAGCTCGAGCTGTTCGTCACTGCTGTACACAATAAATCCATCTGGCATACGTCCTGTCAGAGATGGAAACCGAGGGTCGAGCCTGAGGAAAGAGGAAGCACCTGAGAGCGAGAGCGTACGTGTGAGGAGTCGGAAGGGGCACCTCAGCTCACCGGAGTCGCCCGCTGCGCAGGCACTCAGGTCCCCGCGGGTAAAGTCGCGGGTGGTGAGCGTGCGGCTCCTTGGTCTGTTTGCAAGTGCTTGGGCAGCGGCTTCTCCTGTAACCAGCTGAAGGAACACCCAACATCACACACAGGCAGAGGAACCCGTGCCTGATCTGCATTGCTGTATCGATCATGCAGTGCTTGGGAGGCACAACTGGCGAGATGTGCTCTTACACTTTTACAGACACCATTTTTTAATATATAGGGTTTGTTTATGATCAACAATTAATTATACCTATACAGAGTTCACTTATAGTTAGGAGATGAGATTTAAAATTATCACAGTTTACTAGTTTGGAAAATACTTTTGAAATTCTAATGAGCAAGGTAAGGTTAGGAGGGATCTGCAGTAAATGCACAGTCAAAAAGGATTAAAATTTGCTGCAGAAAATTTTCTGCAGTATTTCACTTCCATTTCCAGACCGACAAAATCACACAGACACCCCTATCAAAGGGATGCGATTCCACCTCAGACTGTTGGCTGGCACCAGAAGCCCAGATCATAATGCCATAGAGGGTCTTCAGAAACAGATCTGCTCTGACAAATTGTATGCAAGCTACGGCAAAGCGAACCCTTCATCAAACATACACGGGCTTTAAAAAGTCTGTCACCATTTCCATCCAGTGTTTAACAAAAACAGTAAAAGCAGCAGCAGAAGTTTAAAGTCAATAGGATTCAAACAGATGTCATTTTGATATATCTTTGAACCTTTCAATTAAAAAAATGAAATCGACAGCTTCCTTCAGTCTGTCTAGAAACCATCTATTTTGCCTTCCAAAAAAGTATGAGTCAAGGTGGCATTCATTTTGACATGAAGGGTTGCAAAAAGAAACATGGATGGACAAATAAACGAGAAAAAACCCAAAGGTGTAATATCACTGATTTCAGAAAAAGAAGGCAGCTTTATTTTAGCAACGATAACACTATCATTTATTTAAAGAAGATTGCTCCAGGGCAGATTCACATTAACTAACACTGATACAACCATCACGCAGCCTTAAGAAACACAGGAACGCCACTGGACACGCTGGCAAGACAACACTTCCTAACGCAATCTTTTAGGTTGGCAAGGTACCTGTGGAGTTCTCGCCATTCTGCTCATCTCTCAGGCTCTGCTGACTGAGGTCTGTTACTAAGCAAACTGCCTGCTTCTTCCCTTCTTCGTCTCCCGACTCCTCCGATTCAATCCGCTTATCAACTGCGTAAGATACACAACAGCAGAATTAGGCTATTTTCAGCAGTGGGGCAGGGAGAAGAAGTAGCAAGCAGATATAATAACCAGGATTCACATATACCACTATGCAGTTAGTAGAAATCCTAAGTTAACTAAATGAAAGGTTTAGTCTTAAATAAAAGGCCTCTTACCCCTTGTTTCTACTTTGATTTTGGATGCACTTTTTCCTCCCATCACATCTTCCTAAAACCAAAATCTGGGAAGAAGACTGGAGGAAAAAGGAAATTTCTTAGAACAATGAAGTGCCATTCCAAATATACGGAGATGGAATTAGAACTATTACATTTTACAGGCTTTTAGAAAAAAAAAATAAGTATCATGTACAATAGTACCAATGATATGAAAAAGTAAAGGCATCAAAAAAACCCCAAAAACCAGAAGTCCCTGAAGACAAAAGCAACCGTCTCCCCAGCTCAGCCTGTGAGATCTCTTCCCCGTTTATTCAGCCACAACTCTGCTGGCCACCCTGGCTCTGGGGATCTGAAGCTCCTCGCTCCTCCTCGTCCCCCCTCCTCAGTATTCGCTCTCGTTTCACGTGGCGATTGAGGCAAAGCAACGCCACGCCAAGGGATTTATTTCTTATTATCTTTATTTTTCACGTCACGGTCATCTCCGCAAAGCCACATTTTCCACCTCTCACGCGTGGAGCGCCCGGGGAGAGGGAAGGCATCACGCCACGCCCCAGGTAACCCCACAGCCCTCCCGCCCCGGCGGCCAGCTAGGGCCCCGTCCCCCCCGGGGCAGTCGCCTTCGGGGTAGACACCCAC